ATTTGTTAAAGCATCTTTCCTATCCAAGCTCAAGCATCGAGTATCTGGCTAATTCACTAGGCCATAAAGACTTCTATCTCTCATCTTTCATCATCCACCTAACACGAAAGCAGATGTCCTTGCAGTTCATCCAGATTTCTGATCCATTAAAAGGAACTGCAAATTCTTGGTCTGAATAAGACAGCAGCACATAGTTTTAGGGAGTAGTTTCCTTTTGTACCAAAGTATTTCCAGACAGGAGACCTTTCAAGCTTATTGGGAGTCCCATCACTCTTACTGACAGATGGGGGAGAGACCCACACCTAATTTATCTTTCCTGACCTATTCCTTATTCATGACATATAAATTCCACCACTTCCTTTCAGTCCCTTCCTTTTAGTTCTCTTGAGCGCAGAGGTCAAGAGATCTGATTTCTTCTCCATTGGACAGCTCCGGACTGCCACCAAGCCAAACTAGAACCATTCAGTATCTCAGATAAAATAACAGAAGAGCTGGTGTTTTTTTAAAATAGCAACTACTCTATCTCATTCTTATTTTTCTTTATTTATTGTACCAGACTATATATATTGTCTCTTCATAAAAGCTGGGGCCAAAGTTTTGAACATATTCTTCTGAATGTTAAGAAAAACAAAAAGGTGGTTCTGTAAGTAATGAATGTGTAGTTACGTTTCAGGGCCTTGATTTGCAACAATGCTATTTTATCTCAACTTCCAGTCACACTGCAGATTTCTTATCACTTTGGGGAAATGAATTTACAAGTATCTTATTTTTAAAACTTAAACAATCCCAAAGAAAATGAGGCAATGGAATAACAACTCCTTGGGGACAGAATGGCTGCTGGTCTAAGCCAAAGTTCACTGCTGTCTACTGGTTTTAGTGCCTCTGAGATGCCTCAAGGCTGATCCCTGACCACAAAAGGATGGATGCAGCTGCTTATGCCACTGAGTATCCATGCAGGAAGATCCAGCAGCAATAGCAGGCCTTTCAGCTTGCTTCCAAACAATCTGGGAATTTCTAGGGGGTTTTCTTCAATGACACCATAATCAAGCTGTCTTCAGAATGGGCTAGCACCATTTATCATGTCCATCTTGATAAGCACGACAGATTTAGGTATTCTCAGCATGAAGTTACAACTGGAAATCTTGAACACAATGAATTTATCCACAGAATGCTGTGCAACCAAATGCTGAACAACGAAAATAATAAAAATCCTCACTGCAGTACATAATTCTTTCTTGCAAAAAGCACAAGTTCAGGACCCAAGAATTAAGGTAAAAGGTTATTGCTGTGTAATTCTATTCAGGAACTCAATAATTATAACACAAATCAAACAGAAATTATGTCCCACATCAGTCTGATAGCATCTGCTTAACAAAGGAAGACTTCTGCTTATTTAAGTCCTTATGCAGGTTACTGTTTTTTTGTCTGAAGTATGTATTGCTTCCTCTCTATTGCTCTGAGTTTACTCAGCAGTTTATAGTACCTGCAACATAGAGGATTTTATTGCTCTTGTGCTAAAAACAGATTTCCCCTTATTGCTGAAATCTTACTGTTAGGAGAAATGGTGAAAAAAGAAAAAAGCACAATTAAAAAAATCCTCTCCCAAACTTTGAGGATGAGTATTTGAAAAATTGCCCACAGTAAATATTCGCCATCAAGACACAACCTATTACTAACTTTGGGTCCAGTGTGTTAATGAGTAAACATGAACTTCAATTATTTAAACTAAATTTTCTATTACCAAAAAAATGTTTCTTGTCATTACAATTGAGACATGAAAGATACTTCACTGTACACAGAATGGTGAATCTAACATAATCTCCCTGGTTTTACACAGAGGTGATGTTTTAGGACAACAGAATGACAGAATCCTGCAAGCTGGCTGGATTTCTGCCAGTTTCAGAGGAGCTTGGATGGATAGTGGCACCTCACCCTATAGAGTTGGGGTCTGCACTGTAATTCTGAGGGGACAGCAGAGAATTGCTTAATTCTGCAGGGTCTGAAAAATGGTTGGCTGTTAAGCAATTCTTTTGTGCAAGTGGGGTAGGCAGCTTTGTACCCACAGCTCTGTCCCTACTGCCAAAAGTCTTGTCACAGGTGTGTTATACAATGCCTATCCACTGCTGCAAACCATGTTAAAATTTGGTCTGACAGTGGTGGGCAAACCTATGCCACTGACTTCCAGTAGGATTTTCTGGCCTATGCTGCACAGCCTCAGTTTAAGAACATACTTTTGGAACAGACAATATCCTCGCTGGAGGTCACAGCAGTAGCTTGGGAGGCATAATCGTGTTTCTCATCTGTTACGTGGTGAAAGGTAACCATGCATTACCCCTCAAACAAGGGCAAATTGCATCCCTACGAGATAGCTTTGTGGGACTGCTATAATTAATCCTTCTTTCCTCCGTTTGACTTGCACTGCTTCTCAGGAGAGAAGCTTCCAATTACAAATCTCTCTGCTCTGGCACAAGGAAAAGGTCGGCTCCCTTGGCACTCTGGAGAGCCTCTGTGGATTTGAGCAGCCTGTGGAGCGAGGAAGATGACAAGGACACTAGGTGAACCAACATGAGAAGAGGGGATGACATTACCTCCCTCTGTGCTGTTTTTTTCTGGCTTACCTACCACACAGGTGTTGTGTAGAGAAAAACACTAATGCCTGTAAGGTTATCCAAGAGGATGAGAACAGCTCTGCATAAGCAAAACAACAGTTGCCCTCAGGACTGAGTTTTGGTCACAGTTGTAGCTGCTCATCTTCATCATAATTTAGCAATTTCATACAGAAGAAAAAACAGGGATAAAAGAGGTGTGTGTGTAAACTTTGCATGACTTTAACTTATTTTTTTGCTTTTAAAAGTGCCATCTTGAATTATTCAGCCTCTCTACATTATTCAGCTCATGACTTTTACTGCCATTAATTCCCAATACTTTGCATACTGGCAAAACTGCACACATACATAGCTTGGATATTTATGAAGTGACTATTTCTTATACAAAAAATCATAACAAAATGCAATGACTAGAGTTTCATTAGCATTCAGAAGTAGATAAAGAACACCAATATCCTACACTGAGTAGAGGTCATGGTCTAACTCTTCTGAGCATCAGTAAATTACAGGGAAGCCAGGGGAGCTTCAAATTCACAGCTCTACTGGATCACGCCATGCAATTATTAAACTAATCAGATTACAAAGTAAGAGCCAAATATCATGAAAGTTGAACCAAGTAAATAATGGAATTTAAACCCAGCATTGCAACTAAAATAAATTATTGCTCAGAAAAATCTCTACAGAGCCTTGTTTACAGACAACTCACATTTGAGATTCAGCTTTGTGTATAGCATATGATTCTTAACGTCACAGAAACTTTGCCACAAAAGCTACAGTCATCCAAACGTCCACATGAAAAGGACAGATTCCATTTGGAAAAATCCAGACCAGCAATGCAATTGTCTCTACTACGTCTACTATACAGGTATAATTTTTCATTGAACTGTAAATATTGCTATTTTTACACTTGAGTTTGTTTTGTTTTTTTTTAATGGAAGGTACCGAAGCAACAATACAGTATGTTGACTTAGACATTCAAGGGAAAATAACCTCCTACTGATGCCAGGGCATGAACACATTGAGCTCCCACCAACACTAATGGAAGTGGTACTCTAGACTCCCATGCACTGACATTAGGGTACACCATAAGTTTCATGAAGACATCTGTCAGGAAGATTTTCTCTCTGACAACCAAGTCTTCAAATTAGAAAACAATGCTTTATTTCTAGTGCATTCTAATGTGGCTTCGGTGAAAGTTTAGAAGCAGTTTGAAATTTAACCATTCATGAGAGGAAGCTCTGCTTTTTGGACCAGAACTAGCATCCTGTAATGAAGTGAACTGACGTGTACAGTGCAAAGAATCACAATCTGTAATGGATGAAACTGCCAGAAAAGGAGAAAACACTGTTTCATCTTGCAGTTCTGGTTGCATACAATTACGAACCAGATATGCTCTGAGAATTTATAAACTTCAGTACTTAGAATTACATAGGAGAACAGTGAAAACAAGGGGTAATAGTTCTGACTTGATAACAAACTTAGGGGAACCATTTAATGTAGTGCTAAGTATTTGCAGGTTATTTTATTAGACATTTTCTTACACTCCTCTGAAAAGATAGAAGTGTCTGAGAAACTCAAGAGTTCTATAACAAACACACAGCCAAAAGAGGCCACATTGTTTCATCAATTTCAAAGATTCCCCCCTCCAAAATCAGTTTTAAAATTAATAGCATAATGAGCTCTGATGTCCCATATCTAATTGAAAACATATGGCTGACTTTTGAAAAGGAAAGCAAAGCATATCTTTTGGTTTAACATCCAGCCAGAAGCCATGAGAGAACAGGTAACGCTTAAAAGCGATTATCAACCTAATTCATGCTGAGATGTAAAATAAAAAGCTGTCAAGTACTTCCTCACATTGAGCAAATTTGTTGCACTGAGATTATCACAATAAATACCATATAAATCAGTACAGTTGGCCATTATTTTGAAGAGTATTCTGATGATATACAAATGGGGTAACAGGACTTGGTTTTTTTTTTTCCCGTTTTAAAAATATTAAAAAGGAAAAAAATATCCTGACAACAGAGTGTAACATGCAATATGACTAAACGCAATCACATAAACAATTTCAAAGGAGGTATGCTGTTTCAATCTGATTTTAATTAGAAAATGTAATGTAAAATCATGGCAAACATGGCAAAGTCTGGGTAATATGACAAAAAGACCCTGAGCAACATTATAAATCTGTAAGAACACTGACTATTTTGATTTTGGAAATCTCCCTTAAACCACTCGATTGATTTCGGTCACTGGGGTTTTCTGGTTCCAAACAGGTCAGTCCATCCTGTGGTTTTTATCTGAACCCATCGCACACCATTTAATGAATGCATCTAAACCAAAGACAGAGTGTCTGGAAAGTAACATGTTAAGGAGCGTCCTCCTAGCTGCCAATCAGACATCACTGGGTGATCTTGCTCTCTGAGACAGGTTAGAAGGAATACAGCCACAACAGATGAGCCAAAGTGCTTTCTGTATCTCCTGGTTTCTAAAAGCATATATTACAGGATTGATGATGGAATTGTAGGTAGCTGGCAGGAGGGTGGCATAGGTGTATATAGAAGGATAGGTGTAATCTGCTATTAAAGAATAGAGCGTAAAAGGCATCCAGCAAGCAGCAAAAGTCCCCAAAATAATGGCCAAAGTAGACACTCCTTTTCGGGTGGTCACATAGTGGGAAGTGGCCAGGAAATGGTGTTGTAAGGCAATCTGATGGGCATGGCGCATCACGATTTTACAGATCTGAATGTAGAGCTGCAGCATGAGGGCAAACATAAGCAAGAAAGAGACCGAAAGGACAGCTGCATTATTTTTAGTGAGTGGTCTGATAACACTGCAGGTGGATTCATCTCTGAGGCAGTTCCAGCCCATTACAGGCAGCAGTCCAATACAGATAGACGCTCCCCAGAGCAATATAAGCATGACATAGGTAAAAGTGACAGTCCTCTCTGAATTGTAAGTCAGAGCATAATACAGGGAGAGGTAACGATCAACAGTAATAGCCAGCAAACTGCCAACAGATGCTGAGAAAGAGGCAACAATCAGTCCAATCGTAACCAGTTTTGTAGCTTCTGATTGCAGAAGGTATGCAAAAACAAAATTGATGATCAATCCAATGCCTGCTAAGAGATCTGCCAGTGCCAGGCTGCCTATCAGGAGAAACATGGGGGCGCGAAGACTGGGATTATGGAAAATGATCAGAACCACAATGGCATTCTCGCAGGAGATAAGGGTCCCTGAAGTACACAAGACAATGTCCCATGGGTTTACCAAAATCTCTGGCTCAGGGTCTACGACAGGAACCAGGGAGGAGCCTGCAGCTGAGGCATTCTCTGTAGAGCTGGCTTCTACATGATCCTGAGGCAGCCAGCTCAAATTAACCTTCAGATCTTCATTCATTTTAACCCCTGTCTTCTTCAACAGAAAGACATTATTTTTAATGTTCAGACACAGCACTGGATACATCACCCCCAGAGCATGCAACGCCCTAGACAGCAACACCAACCTAATGTGCAGGCAGGCACTTGTTACATAAATGCGACAATAGGAAACACAAACAAAAAAACGGGGAGGGGAGGGGGAGATTTTAAACCGGCCGGGCACGGAGGCTGAGCGGTCCTTACGACAATTCCCTTCACCTGCACGGGGAGGAAGGCACAGGCACGGGAGGCAGCGCACGAAACAGCCAAAGCGCCGCTCAGCGCTGCGATTTGGGGTGGGGGCGGTGTGAGCCGCGTTATTCCGCAGCCGCGGCTGCAAGGTGGGATTATTCTAGGTCACGCAGCGAGCGGACAAGGATAGGGAAGGGGTAGAACATCCTTCACCGACGCCCTGCGAGGAAACGGGCTGGGAAGGATGCGAAGGAGGAGGATGGGAAGAGGATACCCTCCGACAACTTACAAACTCAACGCGGACATCCCCCTCCCCGACCACCA